GGCATGTGTTAGGTTGTGCCTGGCTTCTTTCGTTTAACGTGATGTTTTTGAGATTTATCCATCGTCCCCCCGTCAATAATTTCATTTCTTTTATAGCAGAATAGTATTCTAGTGCATGGATATACCAGTTTGTTTACCTATTCACCTGTTAATGGACGTTTGGGTAGTTTTCAATGTTTGGTTGTTACCAGTAAAGTTCCACGAACAGTCGTGTGTGTGACCTTGTATATCTACATGCTCCTGGGTCGTTACCCACACTGTTTTCCAAGGCGGTTGTGTCACTTTACGTTCCTACGATCAGGGCACGAGTCTTCACCAGCACTTGCAGTTTGTCAGTCTTTAATTTTAGCTTTTCTAGTGGCTGTGTAGTGGTATTCATGTGGTTTTTTATTTTTTGTAGCAGTTTTTTGGGATAAAATTCAGCCAGTGTACAGTTGAGTGGTTTTTAATATAGTCACAGAGCTACGACCATAATCAGCTGAAAGCATTCTCATCACCTCAGAACAAAACCTTTGCATCACTGATCCCTCTATGCTGCCCAGCCCAGAGTAGCCCTGGTCTACTTTCTGTCGCCGTGGATTTGCCTGTTCTGATGTTTCATGTAAACAGAATCATACAGTATGTGAGCTTTGGGCCTGGCTTTTTTCTCATGACCTAATGTTTTCAAGATGCATCCACACTGTAGCCTGTGTCAGAGTTTCATTGCTTATGATCGAATAGTATTCCGTTGTACGGCTGTCTCACATATATCCATATTGTATACGATATGCAAATATTTTCTTCCATTCTGTGGGTTGTCTTTACACTTCCTTTACAGTTTCCTTTGAAGCAAAAAGATTTTAATTTTGATGAAGTCCAGTTGATTTATTTTTGTTTGTTTCTTGTGCTTTGGTGTCATTTAAGAAACTATTACCAGGTCCAAGATCACAAAGATTTACTATCTCTTTTCGAAGAATTGTATAGTTTCGGCTCTTACATTGAGGGTTTTGTCCATCTTGAGTTAGTTTTGTGTACGGTGTGAGGTCGGGGTCTCATGTCTTCTCTCTCGTGTGGTTGTCCCACAGTTGTCCCAGCCCCATTTGTTGAAAAGACTTCCGTCGTTCTTTCCCCAGGGACTTGTCTTGACTCTCTTGTCAAGAATCAGTCAACCATAAATGTGAGGACCTCATCTGGTTTTGATTATATTTTCCTGATGTCGAGTGCTGAGCATAAGATAATGTGCTTAGTGAATCTTCGTGTATTGTCTTTGGTTTAAATCCTTTGCCCATTTTTTTTTAATTAGTTTTTGTCTTCTTAATATTGAGTTGTATGTGATTTTTGTATACATTGTACATACTAATTTCTTTGGTCAGATTCACATATTGTAATTATTTTCTCTCAGTCTGAGACTTTTGTTTTCTTTATTGTGTCTTTCAAACTACACAAATGTTCTGTTTTGTTGAAGTCCAGTTTTTCGTTTTCTTCTTTTGTGCTTTATGTTTAACATCCTCTCTGAATATCTTTGCCTGCTTCAGAAGCATGAATTTTTTCGGGCATTTTCTTTTAGGAGCTTTAGGTTTCACTTTTGCGTTTATTTCTGTGATCTGTTTTGAGCTTTTTTTTTTTTTCTTGTTCTTTTTCTTTTTGGTGTTTGTGTACACGTATGGTGTAAGATAAAGAGCTCAGCAGTGTTTGTCTTTCTACAAATTACTCATTATTCAGAAAATACTTTTGAGAGCTTACTCTCTGCCAGACGTTGGGGTTACAGCTCTAACTAGACGGGCATATTTACTGCCTCCCCGGAACATACTTTTAATGAGGAAGACAAGTTTTGTAAGTGCTAGAAAGGTTTTTTAAGGCCCTGGAGGGCACAGGAGGCCCCCTGGAGTGGGTTGCCCTGCTTGGGCAGAGTGCTTTTTGGGGGGCCGGGGGGCTTTTGGAGTCAGTGGGGAGCTTTGAGCTGAGGCAAAAAAGACAGCAAAGGAGCTAGTCTTTCCCTGAACTGGGGGACTGTGTCCTGGGAGCAGAAGGTCCAGCCCGAGGCAGGACAATGCCGGAGCGTCAGTGGCTGGAGTCTAGTGAGAAAAGGAAGCTTTGGGACAGAGACCTGCTCCTTCAGGACCTGGGTGAGGGATTAGAATTTTACCCACATCTGTCTTTATCCTAGTACATCCCCTAAGCGTCAGAGCTACGTAAGGGGTTGCCTGCTAGATGGATTTGCTTGGATGAGTCATCTGGGTTTAAATACATCCAGAACTGAACTCATTCCTAACCGCTTCTAAACTCCATCTTCCGTCTTGGTCTGTGGTGCCGTTGTCCTGCCTTTGAGTCAGGATGCTTCGTTTCCCATTGCTGTCCTGTTAGGAAGGGAGAGCTGGGTCCCACACACACCACAGAGAGGAAAACCAGCTCGTCTTACGAGGCTTACAGCAAGAACACTAGTCCCTTTTAATCCCCAGCTCCTGTTCTCTGGAGGCATCACCTTTCCACTCCTGCAGCTCTTTCTAGAGCTCTGACTTACTCTGGATTCCTCATTACTGTGGCTCCACTGCTGTCCTGATGTTCATTTTGATGTTGTCTAATGACTTTTTGGTGTGGAGGTGAGGCTAGCTTTCCAGCTAGCTGCCTTTGGGGGACACACCTCGATGTCCCCACGTACATGCATTTACCGCGTGCACATACTCTCCACCACCCCCCCCGTGATTCTTAATCCTCTCATTATTCCAGTGTACGCATTCAATTAAATCAGTAGTTTTATTGACGTTATTATGACTGTGAAAGTGGTTTTTAGCTGAATCTGAAGATGCACCACAAATACATTTTGTGTCCTGCACGTCTTTGTCCCACCGGAGCTGGGCCTGGTGTCCTTAGTCCAGTGTGTCTTCGGTCCACGGTGTCTGAGGACAGAACCCATCACCTCTGCTCTGCTGGAGGAGCGAGTGGGGTGCAGCAGTTAGGAGTAGAGCTGCTGCTCTTCAGACCCACCCTGGCCTCCCTTGAGGTGTGAGGAGAGGAATCCGGACCCTTCTGGTAGACCCACTGCCCCAGCTGCAAGGCTGGGGTTTCCTGTTTGTTCTTCAATCCCCCAGATTCTCTCTTACCTGCTCTTTACTTCTGTTGGTTTGTGTCCTTCTGTTTTCCTTTACTGTCATTTGATTGGGGTTTGGCGGGGGGAGGAGAGAGACATGTGCTCAGCCCATCAGCTCTAACCAGAGGCCAGGCGTGCGCTGTTCTTACTCCTAAGCGTTGCTCGGTTACGGGTCCCCAGCCCAGCCCCACAGCCTTGCTGAAATCTTTGGCATCTCCTATCCCACTAGCCCTGGCTGGTCTTGGTGTCCCTGTCCTGGAACTTGTCCCTCAGAGGGACCTGTCCAGGGCCCCTGACACCTTCTCAGACCCTGGAGCCCTCAGGACGAGGGTGTCATCTTTGTCACTGGTCTCCTGACTCCTGTTCATTCACTTCACTCACGCCGAATGCTGGATGTTTTCCCAAAATTATCACCCTCTTCACTTCTCTGTGCTTTTGTCTCTGCTCTTCCTCCAGACAGAAGACCTGCGTCCTCCCAAGTCTGCATCCTCATCCGGTTCAGCCTGGTGGTGGCCTCTGACCTGCAGCCTTTCCTGACCCTGTCGTGTCACTTGTGCCGTCTGGCTTCTGCTCCACCTTGCTGTTCTTCTCTTGTCCTAATAATTGTGCTGCCTTTTTTTTTTTTTTTTTTTTACATTTTTGAAAATTTCTTTCACGTCTGGCTTAATAGAAGACAGTTGCATTCTAATATCTTCTGATATCTGCTTCTGCATCTGGTGTGTGGGGGTGACTCATGTCATTTTCGCTTCAGCTCCACCGTGTGCTCTTGAGGGTGAGGAGTGAGCGGGCCGGGAATGTATCCTTGTCATGATGGCAGTAGTTCTGACTCACATCAGGCGTCTTCTCTGTTCACACTTTGAGAGTCACGGCTGATGAGTGCTGTTGACATTTTGGTGTGTCATCTTCCAGACTTAAAGTGAGAAATACTTCACTGTACAATACCATACACATGCACATTTCATTCTTATTTTAGAGACCTTTCTGTATCATTAGGGATAGATTTGCCTCATTCTTTTTTTATTGCACTGTGTTTTATTATATTTTCAGCTATTATTTGTGTACTAAATGTTGAACAGTAATAGTCTAATGAAATATAGTTGGAGATGGGGTTAGTGGCCTTATTTTAAAAAGACTTAGATTGGTGACATGATTTTGTAAACACGGGAGTGATTGATCTGGGTTATGGAGAGATGAATAAAATGTTTTAAGATTAATGTTTCAGTATTATATGAATGAATCAGAAGAGGAGAAACCATAGCGAAGGAGATCATTTAGAAAATCATTGTAATTGTTTAGATTTGAGCAGCTGAATGCTTAGGAGTGGGTAATGGCCGAGGGATTCCCAAGGCAGGTATGGAGGTGAAGGGTGATGCAGGAGGGGAAATGGCAGATGTGAGGACAGACGGGCTGTGGAAGCAGGAGGTACAGCTCAGCGTAGCTGGGACCGCAGAGCTAGGTCTCCAGGTGATGGTGGTGCCTTGACAGAAACACACAGGAAGGAGAACTTGGTTTTGGAGGATAGATAAGCTTTCTGGCTTCAATTTCTTTAGGACCCTTCTAGCTCTAGCTTATTCATTTTATGGCCTGTTTACTCTTAAATTGTGCATTTAATAGCATGTGCTTTATGCGTGCCACACAGTGATCCTTTTGGAGTGTTGCAGGTCTCAAGTTATTGCATAAAAATTGTACTTCCTGTACCTGCCTCTCACTTCTCTTCTGCTCTTACACTTAAAAACACCAAATAGAGAAGGTTTTGGTAAATTGAATTTGTATTGCCTTTTGTGTTTGGTAATAAATGTACTTATGTTAAAGGACATGTCTATTAGAATGACATGTGTAGGGATTTCTTTCATTGCTAACTGACACGTGTGCAGATTTAATGTTGTGCGACTCTAATAGAACATGCTCATTACCGTTCGCTTTGATCACACAGATGCAGGACAGCTGGAGTGCACATCGATGAAGCGCTGTTCCCTGCAGCTAATCCCAATGAGCACCTACCAAGCCTAATGAAAAAAAAAGTAAGTACGGGACTTCAGTGTGGACTCTGGCAGTCATCAATTTATTCATTTTTTTCTTCCTAGAAAATAAAACTTTTAGAAATATATTCAAGAGTTGTCTTAATATTGCTATTGATTGTATTATTCTTCTCACACAGCATTTTTTAATGAGTTATAGAGCTTACTTTATCCCATGAATGCTTTGATGTAGTTTGTGATAAATGGAAGAGACTGTTTGCCCAAAGGAGAACTAAAAGTTGCCAAGAAACTAGCACCCTTTCAGGTGCTCTGGTAACTACTTCAGGATTCAGGTTCTCAGCATCTGTAGTAAAATACATTTGATCTGTTTGGCTGGAAAATCTCAAAAGTCTGAGGCAGAAATAGCTAAGTGTACACAGTTATTTATTACAGAAGATCTGTGCAAATATAGAGATGCTGCTTTCCTCTGAGGTCTGGTTCACGTTTGAACCACAACCGTTTTGGTTTTTTATTATTTAAAAGTTTTAATTGATTTCTGTATCTGAGGGTAAACTGTTCGCTGTGACATCAGTCACTTTGTTGTCATGTGAGAATCCCTGTTGGAGAGAAGATTTACAGACTTTCTCCACACTGAGTGAGGCAGAGGAGAGCTGTAGATTAGGGAAGACATTCCCATGGATATTTCCAAGTTTTCTGAAATAGTAAATCCTGTGTCTCCATCACATTTCATCTCAGACAAGCTGGAACGCACCCGTGCAGTGATGGAAACTCACTTGTCTCCATCCAGATTGTGTCGGACGGTAGTGAAATGGAGCATCTCATGACTCTGTGATAGACCAGCAGCAGCTGGTAGTACGTTGAGTGAACACAGATCAGACATATCGCTCCTAATTTCCCTTCCCTCAAAATAAGCACTCTTCAGTTTGACTTGGGTCCTTGCTGATCAGATGGTCTTCAGTACACGTGCTTTGAGTGAACGAGGTTCTACTACGTTACGTGTACTATTTGGGGGGTTGCTTTTTCTTCTTCACTTAACCGTGTGTTTTCATGTCAGTGTGTGTACGTGGCTCCACTTCCTTCTGCTTTGTGTTAAACAGCGTGAATGTGTCTTGGATTCATGCACCCTTAGATCATGGACGATTTTTACTAAGTATGTTGTTTGTGTGATGTATTTGAGTTTATTTCTCCAAGCGGAATATCTAGAAAGGGACTTACAGTTCCACCAGCAGTGTACAAGGGTACTTTTTCTTAACACTGACCAATGCTGGATGTTAGTCATCTTTTAAATTTTTCCTAATCTGAAGTGTTAATAATGTCTGCTCGTACCCTTCACCACTTAAGGTTTTATTAGTCCCTACAAGCATTCCCCTTCCTTCCTTTCTCCAAATGCAGTTGCAGATTAAACCTGACTCCAGACCTTATTCTTTTGGTCTTTGGGGAGGGTCTCTGCTTCGCTCCCCTCACTCTGCTGCCAGCCTGACCCTCTTGCTTGCTGTTCTTCAAACATACCACGTTTGTTTGTGTTTTAGGGCCATTGCATTGCCTGTCCCTCTGTCTGGAACACACTTCCCCCCATCCATCCATAGACGGTTCTCTGACATCCACAGGGCTTTGTACTGCTGGTCCTTTCTCACTAAGCGGCGGTTCACTCCCCTGTCTACAGTGGCAGGTCCTTCCCACCATGCCAGCCATCCTGAGCCCCCGGCCTGCTTTTTCCTTACTATAGTACTTGCCCCTTGGTAACATATTGCAGAAGTGCGGGCAGCCAGACTCTCGCGAAGACCCCAGAACCCCGCGTGGCAGTGCTCCCGAGTCCACAGAGCGCATGCTGGTCCCCTGCCCCTGTTCTGACTGCATTACCTCTGCCAGCGACGGGGCCCTCTCACTGGTAATGGGCAGTGTTGACGAGCTTTGGGGGTAGAAACGCCCCGAGCACCAGGGGCCCATAGTTACAAAGCAACACTGTTAAATTAGTGCCTTGCATGCTGTCCAGGTACTTTGGCAAAAACAGTTCAGGCCAGCTCCAGGCCCGCTGGAACTAATCCTCCTGACACACACACACGATGTAGTTTACTTATTTGTCATGTGTATTTTCTGTCACTCCTTCATAGAGTATAAGCTCCCTGATGCAGGGATCTTTCTTTGTTTCAAGACCAGTGACTGACACACAGTAACATTTTTGTTAAATGATGAATGAGTGCATTACTAACAGATAGAGCAGGGTGCTGAACAAGAGCACAGTGTAGCAGCAGCCTTGAATGGCTAAGAAGTTCTTCCTTTAGACCGGGACGCATGTGAACACACTTGGGCTGGACGCCTAAAGAGGCCTGGACAGAAGACACGCTTCCCTAGCATCCTTCAGAGACCCTCGGGTGTAGGAGTAACTGTAGGTGAAGTCGGTGTCAAGCTCAGCTTTTGTATTTACGGTGGCGACCTGCCCAAATGGGCTCTTCCGCAGGGGACCTGGGGGCCTGCGGTATAAAAAATGCTAGGAGACATGAGGACGGTAGGGTGAGACGGTGACCCGGACATCACGTGTCCGAGGTTTCCTCATTCCCTACCCTTTGGACGTGTGGTCACAGGTTTTGTTTTTTACTGGCTGAATGGAGTTGCTGTGATGTAAAGACAGTAAGACAAGATTAAATTATGGTTCTCTTCTTTGGTGGTTATAAAATAATTACTTTCGTGTTTTATTACTGTGTCATGACTTTTTAGGGAGCGGGGAGATAGACATAAAAGTAGCAAAAAATAAGGAAAAGGAGACTAATTTTGTTTAAGAATCTTCATGGACACTAAGAATGCTGGGGTCCTGAAAATGCCTCAGAAAACATAGCTACTTAGTGTGTAGCTCTTTATTCAGTCTGAAAATTCTGTCCATATTCTTACAGTTATAGGAAGAATAAACATTACAAATTCACATATAGTGAAGAAATATCTCTTTAAGTAGGTTGTATTATAGATGTTACAAAAGATATCAGGAATGTGTACGGAAGGGTTCTTTTCCTGTCTTACACAATCGCAATACAGTATTATTTTTCTGTCCTTTTTGTACAGCGCAAGTGTATGCAGCCCAAAGATTTTATGCCTAAAACACCAGAAAATGATAAAAGACTGCAAAAGAAGTTTGAGAAAATGGCTAAAGAGCTGCAGCAGCAGAAGACCACTGTGGGTAAGCTGAGAAATGCAGGCTGGCCCCCGGTGCTTGTGTCTGTACTTCTGAAGCAGCAGAACTGAGCAGAACCTTTAGCCTGCACAGTGCCGCCCGATGCCTTTCCAGAACATTGGCTGAATCCTTTGTTCTTGCGCTCGGTCATCCCACTGCTTGATGAATCGAGTCTCTCGGTGCTGTGCTGGTGCCTCCCTGACAAATCCCACATGATCGTCTGGTCCGCTGCCCCAGACAGACGTGGAGTTCTCCTTGGCATCTGTCCGCCCTGGTGCCTGTCACCCCCTGGACCCCAGACCTGCTCTGAAGTGGTCTCCCAACTCCTCCTCTGCCCTCTTCTCCCAAGCCTGCAGCACCCCATGTGGGCGTCCGGCAGCTCCTTGGCTGGCCTTCCAGCCGCTGTGTCCTTAGCCTCCACCTCCCTGCTTCAGTCAGAAGGGTGTACGTCCGAGCTCACGTGGCCGCCCCACCCGGGCTTTAACGGTCCTCAGTGTCGTCCTAAGGAAAAGATACTTAGGGTAAAATCCTGTACTTCACGTGTCCTGCAGCTGACCACATCCTATCTGATCTGCCTGTCCTGCAGCCTCACCTCAGCTCTGCCCCTCTCTGCTGTCAGCCTTCATACCTCTGCCATTTGGCCATCTTTCCTGCACCAGTGATAGTGTATTTGGAAAGAATTCAGCAAAATGGTAATGATAGATTTTAAAAAGTTCTCTTTTTAGACCAAATTTATGTCTGAATTGTCTTTTAAAAACTACAACTATAAGGTATTAAAGATTCAACTAACGTATGTCTGCATATTGCCAGAAGTGCAGTAAAAGTCGTGCAGGCCTAAGAGTTGCAAAGGGAGGCTATTGAATGATTTGTGGTCTGTTTTTTAAGGGGGGGACAGGTGGTCAGGGTCCTAAAGTTCTTTCATTACTTGCGAGGTGTGGATTCCAGGAAGCACACCACTGTTCACCCCACCCCTGAGCCCCTTACTTCATGGCCCAAGGATCCCCTGACCTCCTTCCTGCCGCCGAGTTCACGTGCGGGTCTATGTGTGTGTCTGTCAAAAGGGAAGAGGAGGGCTTCCCTGGTGGTGCAGTGGTTGGGAGTCCGCCTGTCGATGCAGGGGACACGGGTTCGTGCCCCGGTCCGGGAGGATCCCATGTGCTGCAGAGAGGCTGGGCCCGTGAGCCGTGGCCGCTGGGCCTGTGTGTCCGGGGCCTGTGTTCCGCGGCGGGGGAGGCCACAGTGATGGGAGGCCCGTGTACCGCAAAAAAAAAAAAAAAAAAAGAGAAAAAAAAGGGAAGAGGAACCCGTGGAGTAGGGGACAGGGGTGTCCTTAAGAGGAATCATATTGTTGAAGGAGGAAGGCATTTTTTTGAGATTAAAACTGGATTTTTGTTTCTTTTCAGATAATGATGTTCCTGTTCTCTTGTTTGAATCTAATGGCTCCTTGGGGTACAGTCCCACAGTTAAAATCTGCAGTGGCCACCACAGTGCAGTGGAGAAGAGGCTGCAGGAGATGAAGGAGAAACGGGAGAATCTTTCCCCCACCTGTAAGTGACACTCCATACGATGGAAATTACAAAGTAGGTGAATAAATTGTGGAAAGGGTTTTTTTTTTTTTTCCTTTACATAGATATTTTAGTTAATTTAGCTTATAATCATTTTTTTACCTCTATCAGCGTAGACTTTGTTGATATTTTCTTCCAGAAAATCTTATGCTTTATTAAGATTTTTAAAGAGTATATTGGGTACGTAGTATTCTCCAGGTTTAAGATCCTGTTGTTCCTTTGTAATTTTTCATATATTCGGGATTTTTTTTTTAATTAATTGGGCCCCTCTTTTGAAGGAGTTTGCTTTAGATTAAGTAATGCTTCAGTTTATGTTTTCCTTTATTTCTTTTATCTTGAAAGTTTTTAAGTAATATACAGAACGTTGACCAGTAGTACATCGTTTGTAGTAAACATCCATCTTGATTCCCACCTCATTCTCCTCTGCCGCTGGGTAACCCATGTTTTATGTTGATGTGTTTCTCCAGATCTTTTTCAGTGGGTCACATGTCTGTGTACACATGAACAAGATAAGCCTTCTGTATTTTCCTCTGTGGTGGTGTAACTTTTCTTTACCTAAATTGGATCGTGGCATACCTCTCATTTTCAGCTTTCTTGTTTTACTGAAGAGTGTATTGGTGTGGACCTCCATCTTTATTTTAATTTTTAAAGATGTCGCATAGTAGTCTAGACTTTTGATATTGAAGCATCCGTCTGTTGCTGGATATTTGTCCATTTTGTCTTTCTTTTTTTTTTTTAATTTTTGGCCTCGCTGTGCAGCTTGCGGGATCTTAGTTCCCCGATGAGGGAGGGGATTGAACTGCAGGCCCCAGGAGTCCTAGCCACTGGACCAGCCAGCGAATTCCCCCAGTTTTTCTTTATTAGAAACAGCGCTGCAGTTTTTATTCTTTTTAACTACACGGTATGGTGGTTCTTGTTCTTTTGTGACCGTTTTCCTCCCTGGACATAAGGCTTTTCCCCCCACTGTTTACTGTTATAACCCACACGCCAGTGGACATGCTTCTATATGAATCTTTATGTTCCTCTGTATTTCATGTATCGCAATAATAATTCATAAAGGCAGAATTTTAAAATTTTGGTAGATATTGTCACATTGTCCTTCAAAAAGTTTGTGTCATTTTACCCTTTGCCAGCTGTTTATAAGAACTGCAGTTTCACACCCTTGGGAAACTAGGTTAAGATACACGAACTCTGCTGTTTGTCATAATGCGGTGACTTTTGTGAAACAGAAATACTACGTTTAAGGTAGACAAATCTGTTCTGTTTGTCTTTTCCTTCTGGCCTCTAGGATTCCTGTGATGCTTAGAACTCCTCCACCACAAGCTTTCAAAATTGTATTTTCTGCTATTACTTGTATGGTTTATTTTTAAGGTTAGTTGTTTCATCTGTCCTGAATTTATATCTATATTTATGCAATGGGCATGTGTATCAGTTAAGGTTAGTTGTGGCCGCCGATAACGGACAAATGCAAAAACCAATGGCTGCACTTAGATAGAGTTGTGTTTCTCCGTCCTGCCAAAGAAAGAGGCAGGCAGGGTTCGGGGAGGCTGTTCTGTGGTGTCTTGGAGAGCGGGGTCCCGACCTCCTGCCTGGCTTCCCTGGAGCCAGCTCCCTGTGAGCAGCCTCACCAGCTCCTGCCGCTGCCGCTGCCGAGCTCTGCTGGCCAGAGCACAGTCCTGTGGCTCTTCCTGCTTGCAAGCTAAGTGCGACCGTGTGTGGCCCAGGAGCTACAAAGGCAAAACACCACTCTGGATGAGCCAAGAAATACAATACAGTTCTTTGTGTTTGTACATCTAATTTAATCTGCCAGTTTAATTTAAAATGGGCAGTGGCATTCAGGATGGCATAGCTAAGGGGACTGCGGTAGTTTTAGCCTAGGAAGTAGGAAACCAAATACAAGTCACCTGCAGGGCACTGCAAGCAAGACTGAAGAGTAGTCTTAACTAGGGTGTGTGTCTGCACTCATAAAATCAGGGTCTGTTGCAAGAGGCAGGTGGGAATGGCCATTGAGCTAGGTAACTAGCAGTGTTCCAGGGGACTGTCCAGATTGTTTCGACAAATCATTATATATGTGTGCAAACTAATTTGCCTTGAACTTTATTCCACTACTTTACAGTGTTAATTCTGCTACGTAACTGCCTCCTGCAGTTAAGTTTAAATTCAGTTGAAAATGTTACCTGTGTGCTTACCTTTCTTATCTCGGTTTATTCTCATTTTCTAATCGTTCGCCCAAGTTTTCTCAGAAGTGTATTCTTTTAAGTCTCCTCAAAAAACATCTCTGGGGGGGCTTCCCTGATGGTGCAGTGGTTGAGAGTCCGCCTGCCGATGCAGGGGACATGGGTTCGTGCCCCGGTCCGGGAAGATCCCACATGCCGCGGAGCGGCTGGGCCCGTGAGCCATGGCCGCTGAGCCTGCGCGTCCGGAGCCTGTGCTCCGCAACGGGAGAGGCCACAACAGTGAGAGGCCCGCATACCGCAAAAAAAAAAAAAAAAATCTCTGGGGACTTCCCTGGTGGCACAGTGATTAAGAATCCTCCAGCCAACGCAGGGGACATGGGTTCGAGCCCTGGTCTGGGAAGATCCCACATGCCGCGGAGCAACTAAGCCCATGTGCCACAACTATTGAGCCTGTGCCCTAGAGCCCGCAAGCCACAACTACTGAGCCCGCGTGCCATAAATACTGAAGCCCGTGCGCCTAGAGCCCGTGCTCCACAACAAGAGAAGCCACCGCAATGAGAAGCCCGTGCACTGCAACAAAGAGTAGCCCCCGCTGGCTGCAACTAGAGAAAGCCCGCGTGCAGCAACAAAGACCCAATGAGCCAAAACTAAATAAATAAATTAATTAATTATTAATTAAAAAAAAAATCTCTGGCCGTGAGGCCGATATCTCTCTCTTGTCTGTGCTCTGTTGCATGCACAGCCTTTGAAGGTGACGCCTGTGGCCTTAGCTGTTGAATCGCTGATCTCCGGGATGTTTTTCTGTGAAGCCCCCGCCCTCCGGACACTTGGGGCTGAGTAGTTCTTTGTTGCTGGGGCCATCCTGTGCCCGGCAGAGTGATCCGCAGCATCCCTGGCCCCTGCCCCCTAGATGCCGGTAGCATGGCTCCTGTCCACCGCAGCCCCACCCGCGACATCCAGCAGCATCTGCAGGGGCCAGGCCGCCCCTGGTTGAGAACCACTGCTCTGGTCATAGAGGCAGCTGTCGGTGATCATTGTGAGAAAAGCCTTGATCGTTGAGAAGTGAGACTGACTGAAAGGTTCTCTACCCGTATCGAGCTTCTGCTTAGGTCTAGGCCGGCCGACTTTCCAAGAGCCCTTCCAACTTTTATTATCCTAGGATTCTGTGCCTTTTTTATGATATGATTTGTATAAATTATATTTTAATGATTCTCATCATCTGTAATAGATTTGAGTAAGATATCTAGAATAGCATGTATTAGGAATAAGTCGTGGGTGTGGGTGTGTGTGTCAGTGCCACATGAGTGGAATGAGTGGACCTAGTATTGGCTTCATCTACTACCAGAGATCAGAGTTGTTATTTAATGAGGAGTTTTGATTATGTTTTCAGCTTCCCAGATCGTTGAAAAGTCTGACGATAACACCGTTAATGCTCTGTGTGAAGCATCTTTGAACCTTTCGCATGATACTTTGTGTTCAGGTAAAATTATTTTCACAAAAGCTTCGTTCTGTGCATGGTTTATTCTTTAATCTCTTTGGCGTGTATTGAAATTATTTGCCCACGTATCTTAAGTAATCACCATCTTTTTATTTCATACTTGATGCGTGTGTGAAACAAGTGACAACAGTAACTAGCTCAGTTTCATCGTTGGCTGTGCCGTGGGCGCTGCTCGCGTGTCTGTATCTCGTCTGATTGTCCTGTTAGCCCCGTGACGCAGGCCCCGTCGTTGTCCCCCTCCTGCCGGTGAGAAAGACCGGCCAGCGAGAAGTCAGACAGCTCGTAAGAGGTCACACCATTTGTGAGCGGCTGAGCCGGGCTTCGAAGTAGGCAGTCTGACTTCAGAGTTTACTCTCTTATGCCGTGTCATGCTGCTTGCCAGCCTTTTGAAAAGTGAGCTAAGCTTATTCAGCTGCTAAAATTAAACACGTCCTATGTTTCCAGCTGCTGACTTAGAGACACGCAGCACCACCCGCCCGCTGGGCTTCTCTCTGCTCCCTGGGGGCTGCCCCTCTCCTCCCTCTTTAAAAGTAGAGCCTTAGTGGTGTCAGTCAGTAAGTTAAGACATCTCTGTTGCCTCTGGTGTGGAGTTTCTATAAACTGGGAGTCCTCCATCTGTTCAGCAAGCGCCGAGCCCCTATCAGAGGAGCCAGTGCTGGGCCAACGGCTCCGGATTCCAGAAAGCAGTGTCTGTGCTGGGGGCCTCTAGGCTAGGGAGGGGGGCAGATAGGAGTATAAGCACAGGGCGGTGACACACATGCTCTTAAAGGTTTGGGTGGAATTCTGTGTAGCAGAGGAGGACGTGCAAGACCAGAGCTGGTGAAGTCTGGGAGGATTTGCAGAGGTCTGACGTCCGAGGTGGGTTTCGAAGGAAGGGTAGTGTTTATCCAGGTTAGAGCATGGAGCAGGGGGAGTGTAAAGGCAGCTTTCGGGAGCTGGGCAGAGCTTCGCGTTACCCTCAAGAAACGTGTAGGAAGGTGCGTGGAGAGCCAGAGCCCTGAGATGTGCCAGGCGGCTCCTGGAATTTGAATACAGAGTGAGGACTTTGGCAGGCAGCAGGGAGCCTGGGCAGCCGAGTTCATGGTGGTTGACTAGAGCCTGAACGCAGTGGTCCTTCATTCTCGGACTCCTGGCCTCCTCGAGGCCTCAGTGACGGGGTGCGGACGCTGTTCGTGGAGCGAGGCGCCCGGGCGTGTGAACATGCAGAGCACCACGCCCTCTCCGACCCCACCTTGTTCCCCGCGCACGGGGAAGCCCGGGTCCCCTGGTTAGAAACGCCGGCCAGGAGAGTGTCCTCACCTGCCGTGAGAAGCGGGTGTGGGTGACGCCCTTCTGAAGCAGGAGCCGTGCTTAGGGAGGGTCGCTTTATCACGTTATGGGCGGACTGAGAATTAGTCTTGTAATAATGTAAACCATTAAAAAGTTGGTTCTTTATTAATGTTTTCCAGAGGACTCCTTTGCTGGTGTTCTGCACTTGTCTTTTGATGATCTTTGTGGGAGCTCTGGATGTGGGACCCAGCAGAGGAGACTGGGAGGATTCCTTGACGAAAGTAAAAGCGCTGCGTGTGCTTCCTCAGCTGTGTTGAAAGCGAGAAGTGTCCGTCCGCCAGCAACTCCCGGGCCCCTTGGTCAGTTAACCCTTCACCAGTCCCCCGGCAGCCTTTCCAAGGGAGACACCCACCGGCAGAGGGTTGCTGCGGGCCAAGTCATCACCCCCGACGTGAAGCCAGCACGGGAGCCGGCTGAGGGGGTGTTTGATGAGAAGAGGGGCCTGTCTCCTACGCCATCTGTAACAAATGAGCCCGCCGGGGGCCCTTCATGTCCCCAGAGCCCCTCAGCCACGAGAAGAAGGGTGTCGGCGAACTCCAGTCCACCCCCGGAGGAGAGACTGAGCAAGAGGCGGTGCCTCGGGTGGCCCCCCGCGCCCCGGCTACAGCTGGAGAACAGCCCGAAGTGCGCGAGCAGCTCTGCCGTGGAGACTCTGGGCCGCGGGGAGTCCTCGTACGATGATTACTTTTCTCCCGATAACCTCAAGGAGAGGGACTCGGGGAGCCTCCTTCCCAGGGTGCAGCCGCCCGCCGGCCCTGCCCTGCTCCACTGCATGAGGAGCCTTTCCAGGAGAGAGAGGACCAGCCTCCTGGAAAGGGCTGACTTCTCCTGCATCGGCAGAAGCCCCAGGTCAGCCGGTGGTACCGACTCAACGGTGAAGGCTGGCTTCCGTCTCCAGAAGCCTGCAAACTACGGAGCTGATCCGGGCTTGAGCAGCGTGACTTCTAAGGAAACGCGTGCTGCTGAAGGAACCCCAGGGGACTGTCCCCGGGCCGAGGCTCGGGGAGGGGGAGACGCCCGCCCGGGCGGGAGTGACTCTCCCCATACCCTCAACGGACTCACTCCTCAGAAGGGACTTCGAGGTGATTTTACTTCTTTAAAAGGAAGCAATAAAGAAGTGAAAGGATGGATTGACATAAAAAGCACACAGAAAGAAGATACTCCTAAAATGGTGAATTCCCCTGAAAGTGAAGCACAAAGTGATGATAAGCTAAACTTTGTAGGCGACTGGGATGTGGAAAAGTCTGCAGAGGCAATGGAAGAGTTACCCCGAGGATGTAGTGAAAGTATGTGAACCTCCTTTACCGGTCTCTCCACTATAAGAATATGTAGTAGTGTGTCCATCTTCCACGTTTATCACAACTTTTTCATAATCAAAATTTCCTTTTTTCCCTTTTATTAAACTTTAAAGAATGTATGTTTGATATTTATAGCGATAAATTCTTTAACTTCTTGAGGAATAGACAGCTTACTGCCCCATGGAATTTCTAGGTTCCTTGGTCAAACCTGTTATTAGGAATACATTTCTCTAAGTCTTATAGGTGAAAAGAAAAGGTGATGTCTGGATGTGTTGTGTGAGCAGTGGACTAGATGAGCGCTTTTCCTTGTTTCAGTGCAGCCTGTCACTGCAGCATCACTGTGCAAAGAGGCACGTGAGTGGAGGTCTTTTAAAACTCTCAGTTTGTAATGGTGAGGCCGTTTATTTTAGAAGGGAAATTGAGTGTAAGCCATTCATTCTGTTAAGAAAAGATAAATGTGGAAACAAGTTAATATTTATTTTTGAAGAAACTGGGCAATTTAGCTATGAAGAAATTTTTTAAGTATTTTTAAGTAAATAGTTCACTGTAACAGGCCTTATTAGATTTCTGTTTATTTGCTTTAAGCATGTCATTTAAATAGATGCATTCCTATCTGTAATTTAGTTGTAACCATAGTAATGAGCTATGTCATAGCAAAAGTAGCAACAGTTTTGCACTTTCTGATGATAAGCACAGACAGGTTTCAGCAAGCAAAAGTGAAGAAATCTTGAACTTAAACCACCTTCACCTAAAGATTGGGTTAAAATTTTGATAAGGCCAAGTTTATTCTTCATTATTTCTCTACTCCTTGAATCATTTTAACCACCCTTTTCAAGTTGGAGAAGTTATATGGACTGAAATATAATCACAGATGTATTGCATATCTTTTCCTTGGGTATGAACTCCCCAAAATCATCTCAGTAAAAGAATTTAATTTGTATATCATTAACCTTCTTTTTATGTCTGAGCTTTCTGATATATGTAAAACTTTATTATATATTTATAAAATATATAAAATTTGACATAAAACTATATTTTACATTCCATTAGGGTTAGTATGTGTTTTCAAAATATTTATTTTAAAATCATGTCAAGCCTAAAATTAATATAAAACAGTGAGTGTACAGAATTATTTTGGTAGCTAAGACTATCCTGTTCTTGAAGCTCACATTCTCGTTCTCAGTTTTCATCTTGTGTATTCTTTCAGCTTTTGAATAATGCTTAATGACATGCAAATATAAGTCAAGTAAAAAAAAAAAAAAAAAAATCTGCTTCCAGGCGGTGTGAGCACCCTGCAGCCCCAGCGCTATGCACAGTGTGATGGTCCTGCTCTGGGGCTCACCGCCACGTCCAGGGCCCCGAGGGTTCTGGGGCTCACGGGCTGTAGGCAGGGCCCTGGCGTAACTGAATCTCAGAGACGGAATCAGATATTCTGTGTTCCCTAACGTAAGGACATGTAGATTGGTCTTGTTTTATGTCATCCCAAGAGAGAAAATCATTGAATATAGGACAGGAAAAGACTTACCTATTGTCTAGCCTAAACCTAGGTCTTTGTTTTATGGTGGTAAAATAAAGACCCACTGATGTCTTAGGTGGTCCACGGTCAGTCCACCTGGCATCCCACCTCTCTCTGGGAGCCCCCCCCCCGCCCCCGCCCAGGTAAAAGCACATGGCCTGCGGGCTACCTTAGACATTCGTAGATGCCGAAATTGCGAAGCGGTGAAGCCCACTCTGTACTCCAAGCTGTACCTCTGCAAATCTTTTATGTTGCAATAAAAGTCTTTTTTCAATTTCTGTTTCCGTTCACTTTTACTCATCACCCTTGTCAGTGTCTAAGATAGATAGTGTGCAGCAAAGGTTGTGAGAAGAGGTTACAAAGACACTCAGTAATAAACGTTAACAGAACAAGAATGGAGGGAGAAACTTCTGATTTTTAGAATAACCTTTGAAATCATATTAACCAATAATTGTTTTCTTTCTAAGCTTTTCATTCTCTAGTTTCATAAAAATACACAAATACATGCTCAGTGTAAGAGAAACTGCTAAAAAGGGTAAAATCATCCTGTCCTACTCTCCTCATCTACCCCTTTCTGTTAGTTCATTTAACAGGGGTTTTGTGCACCTGTCGTGTCCCGGGTTCCCTTCTAGTTCCCAGGGAGACGGCAGAGAAGGAGGCAGCGCCCCCGCCCCCCAGAGGTTACATCCTAGTGAGGAGGAGGGGACAGCAGGTGTACGTCAGCATCATGCCAGGTAGCGCGCCGCGTGAGACAAGGGCGCTGGTTAGGTTAGGGAAGGCCTCTCGGAGGAGGTGACCTTGGCTCACAGGCCTGGGCGTGGGAGAACAGGTACCTTGTGGCTGGGGATCATGTTTCAGCCTGAGGAAGCAGCAAGTGCAAATGTCCTGAGGTAGAAAATGCCCACAAGCGCCGCAAGGAAGCCACCATAGCGACAGCTCTCTGGGCTGAGGGAGATGGGCAGGAAGTACAGTCAGAGAGGCCCCGACAAGCCTGGGGTGGCTTTGTTTTGTTTTCAAGTGTGATGAGCCACTGGCGGGTTTCAAGCAGGGAGTAACCAGTTGTGATTTTTGTTTTGGATGTAACCCTGGGAGTGTCTGCTAGAGGCAGTCAGCCAGCAGTTGTGTTTCCTTCCAGACATTGTGTGTGTGTGTGTGTGTACAAACACACAAGTGCAAGAAGATGTTTTAGGGGGATTTTATCGCATACGTAGGATTACATTATCCTATTGCCTTAAAATCTGTTTTTTTGAAAAATACGTCGTTTCCGTATCAGTATCAACAGAGCAATAGGTCTACCTCATTTTAAAATATGTTTCAGGAGTCAATGAAATTTTTCTGTAATGAGTCAGATAGTAAATATTTTAGACTTTGTGGGCCAGGAGGCAAAATCAAGGTACATAGGTAGTTATACAATGAGAAAAAGACATTTTTACAAAATTTTTATCGGCTAAACTGAAAGTTGAGTATAACTTTTTTGTAATACAAGTCTAATGAGAGTAGAATTCTACTTTGGGGGAAGAATAACTTAATTGGGGTTCAGATTGAGTGATCTCATCAAAATTGATCGCTAATGTTTATTAAGGCTGACGTGTAATAAGATTTTACGTATTTCACCTTTGAAAATGCCGTTTCACACAGATAGCCTACCACTCCCGAAGCAGGCGGTTTTCATCGAGCACATGTTGCCTAGGAAGGATCTACAGGCTTTTATTAGTGTCCGCTGTGTGTGCCCTGTAGCACGTCCTCCTGGAGCAGGTGAAGCTCCTCCGCTGTGCAGTTGTGTGGGGTTTGAGTAAATCCCCTTTGCTCTTGCCTCAAGGTCTGCAAAACGTTGCTGGAACTGGAGCTTGCTTGTGGGAGACACATCCACATCAAATTAGCACGACAATGGAGATCTTCTTGTTTTAACTTCTGGCACCGCAGGACAGGAAGTATGTAAAGCTGCTACATGTCACTTACGTGTGGAAATGGCTTTCCACCCCCTGTGGCATTGCTGACCACAGCTCTTCGGATGCCCACCTGAGGTCGGTTTTCACTGTCAACTAGGTAAAGCCGATTCATCATCCTGAATTAGCGCACAGCTTGGCCGATGCTCGTTTCTCAGTAACAAAGGTGGCTGGAGTGGTCCCACGGGTGCCACGTGGCCACCGGCAGGAGCAGAAGGAAATCCTTTCCACACCCACGCCCTCACTGTGGTCCCCTGGTCTGAGAGAGGCTTTGCCGTGGATGATGGAATTGCATGTCAGCACAGACACGTGCCTTATCTAAACAGATTGGCCATGTCCAATTATTAGGTTCTTTTTGATGAATCATAGTCGCCAGTAGAGGTTGATGAAGGCAGTTTGCCGTCTTCTGCAAGCTCTGTCTACCAGCTCTGTCTCCAGACACGCAGATATTCTAAAACATGATTGGCATGCAGATGGGGAACCGTCCACAGATCAGACATGTAAGCTGAAGTCCCCAGTCTTGTCCTTTAAGTTAACTGTCTGTACCTGATCTGAAAGGTTTAGTAGAGGCAGACGGGATTCTCGGGGCTCATTTCTGGAAACTGGGCAGCATCGGGCCACTAGATAACCCTCAGCCCTGCAGTTTCTTATAGGACCATTTAGGGACCAAGTCTTGGATATGACCCCTGGGTACCAGCTATGGCACGTGCCCTACTCATACGTGGGTAGGAGGGCCCTGTGATATTCTAGCCAATCCATGAATTTAACTGAGAAACATTCCTGGCATCCATTACTCTGATTAACAAGCCGATGATATCACCAGTTACCACTCATTTCTTTCATCCACTTTGCCAGTTAACAAAGCATCTAGTATTGGGCGGGAGGGTTTATAGGAGTTGTCTCTAAAGTGTGATGTTTCTGTGAGCTCACCACTACTGGCGGGGGTGTCTTGATAGGGAAGCAGTAGCTCACGTACTTCATGTCACACAGTCTGTGATGAAAGTCTGTGACTTACAGCCTTCACGACACTGTGCTGCTCTGTCTTGGTGCACTAATCCTTGGGACAGAAATGGCAGGAGGGGTCTGTGCTGGCTTTGGTGGGTATGTTGGTGGTCGCTGCCTGTGTCTCTGAGTTGGGAAGGATTATGAGGCTTGGTCTTGGCTTTGAAGGACAAGGTGACATGAATAGTAGTGTCTGCTTAGAGAAGTGACTAACATGCTTCAGTAGCGGGTCTATCTGGATTATCACTTTAATTGGAGAATTACAGGCAAAAATGCTATAGTAATTGTCTGTAGAAGGTATTTTGTATATTTCTTCATTTGTAACCCCAGGCAGGGAATTGCTTTTATAATTTCAGATTTGTTTTGCAGCCTTTTGAGAAAGTGATAATCTTATTTTGATGTAGTTGATACATCTCACTGAAGTCATCAGCAGATATACCATTTTCAATTGAATTAATTAAAAATATTTCATACATGTTTTACGAAAGCAAAGCCCAGCAAATTATAGGCACTTACATACTCTT